CACAACCTCATCTCCCCTGAAGCCAAAAGAACTCGATAGTGTCTGGCTACTAACACTGACCTGCAGTTCTGACTGGGATCACAATAGTTCATCCCGGACAGAATGAGAGTAGAGAACAAAGAACTCCTGGAGACTATTGCCCTGAGACACTCTTTAAACCTACATGTGATCTTGTTCCCCAGACCACGCTTTAGCTAAGTAGCAGAAATTTGTTGTTGTTAAGTGTTGTTGAGTCAGTTCTGACTCATAGAGACCAATATAGGGTTGCCAAGGAGCAAGTGGTGAGTTTAAACTGCTGACCTTGTGGTTCAAATGAACCGTGAGGTCGTGCGCTTAGCCTACAGAATTAAGGATGTTACCCATCTGTTGATGGTCCGTATGCGACCAAAATATCAACAGTGACTTCAAACCAAAGATGAAGAGATGAGGGGACTAGAGAACTGGAAATGGAACAAACAGAGCACAACTGAAGAGAATATTGACACATTATAGTAAAGTAACTTATGTTCCTGAATAGTTTGTATGGAAATTGTCAAATGGGAACACCTGACTTGCTATGTGAGCTTTCAGTGAAATAGAAATTCATTTATATGTATATGTTGTTGTTGTTAAGTGCCATGGAGTCGGTTCCGACTCATAGCGACCCTGCACAGGGTTTCCGAGGCTGTACATCTTTACGGGAACAGACCGCCTCATCTTTCTCCCGCGGAGCCGCTGGTAGTTTCGAACTGCTGACCTTGGGGTTCACAGCCCGATTTGTAACCACTACGCTACCAGAGCTTCTTATACATATATTTTAATTTATATTAAGAGCTAAAGGGAGCACAGTGGCTCTGTAGGGTAAGCACTGGACTGTAAATCTTAACATGATGGGTAGTTCGAGTCCACCAGCCGCTCCTTGGGAGCAAGATGAAGCTTACTGCTCCCACAAAGATTTAAAGCTTAAGAAACCCTCTTGTTGTTAGGTGCTGTTGAATTGGTTCCTACTCATAGGGGTCTTGTATGTGGAGCAGCTGGTGGGTTTGAACCGTCAGTCTTACGGTTGCCAGTCCAGTACTGAGCCTACAGCACCACGCAAGTAGTTGGAACTGACACCATGGCTCTTAACAATAGTAAGTGCCAAAAGTGATGCAAGTCCAATAAAATATGTACACCACAGAGAAAGATCATGTACACAACGAAACAAATGCTGTGAAAAGCCAACCTATGGAAGGTGCCCTATCAGAAAGATGGACTTGTGCCTTCCAGGCTCCTTAGCATCAGGAATAAGGGAAGAGGTGGCCCATGTGGAGCAAGGACCTCAACCCCACCCCCAGCCTGGCCGCAGACTGTTCGAGTACTGCTCCTTCCCTGTTCATTTTTGGATAGAGATGTAACCTCTTGGGGCTTCATTTCTCTTACATATGAAAGGATTAGGATAATATCAATTTCCTAGAGTTGTCCTGAGGGTAAAAGAGGCCCTGGAGATCACACCGGCTGGTGTGAGATGTGTCAGCTCGTGGTCCCTGTGTTCTAGGTAGACTAGTTATCTCCCTCCTTGGAGAACTGCTTTGCAGCCTGACCCCCACTCACGGACAATAAGCTTCATAAACAAGTCTCTTGTGTGTGAGAGACGACGAATGCTTTGGGGGGAAAAGGAGAGCAGAGTGAAGCAGACCAGGTTGCCAGGGCAGAGGGGTGGTGGGGCTCCTGCCAGGGAGCTTGGGTCCAGCGTTACAGTTGCCTCTTGACCCTGCCAGGGGAAGGTGTGCTTCCTTGCAGTGCTGGGGACACCATGATGGCCCTGAGGAACCTCCCGGAGAGCCAGGGTATATGTTGAGTGATGACTGCCATGGACCCCTGACGTGGAGATGCTGTGTGGAGGGAGTAGAAGCCTTGCTCTGTTGGGGAAGGGCCTTCCTCTTAATACAGAAGGCGTTGGCTAGTACGATTTCTTGCCTATTGCTATTATGAAGAGAATTTTAGTGTTTCTTCTGCTTTGCCATCTTTTGGGGCTTTCATGTATCCCTGTCTAATAGGACATGTCTTTGGAGAATCGGCATTTGAGGTTCAGGGAATGAAACCCCATGGAAGTGAATCCATGGCACTGGCAGGCCTCCCACTTCACGATCCAATGACAGCTTACAGTGAATGGCTGAAATGATCATGCATGTCACTTAAAGTTTTCTCTTGTCACAACTTAGATTGTCTTATCACCGTGCTGTTCCAGACCACATTAGGCTGCTTTTTATCCTCCTATGCGTTGGGAAACACTCTCCACCCCCATTTTCTTCTTTATTTTCTCTAACGTTGAGCTGTTAGAAAGCTTCCAGGCACATCTCCAGTCTGCAGCTGATGTTTGTGACTGCTCTCCATTCACTTAAAGAAAGGAGGCTGGGTTCAGTTAAAAAGCAACTGTGAGACTCTGTTTCTTCATCTTAGGGCCAGCTATTTATGGTTCCCAGTTAAATAATTGGGAACTGTCTCAGTAAGGGGTGGTCTTTTCAGCTTCACAAAGAAGTTACTCTTGTTTTATCTGTGCAGCAGAGATGCAGTTGGGGAGGAGGTACAGCTTTATTTACCCTAGGGCCACCGTAGGGCCTTTGGGGAAAAGATCCATGGTATCATTTTCGGTCCATTAATAGACCAAACCTGATGCTATGAAGTCAGAGTGACCCTGGACAAACTTTCCAAGACTGTAAATCATTCCGGGAACAGACAGACTCACCTTCCTCCTGTGGAACAGCTGGCAGTTTTGAACTGCGACCTTGTGGTTAGCAGTCCAGTGCTTATCATACAGGCCTGTCGGGCAGAATCACATCAGGAGGGTGAGATGCACTCTCCTTCGAACAGCATGTGCCCAGGGAGAGAGTTCCGATGGCAGGAGGGGTTGGAAAGGAGGAGGAGGAATGGAAACAGGGACCATAGGAGGAAGTGGGCTGACCACTGTGATGCTCTGCGGACAAAAGGGGCACGAGTTGTTGAACAGAAATCCAGTTTGCTCTGTGAACTGTCGTTTAAATCACAATAAAAAAAGTCAAAACAAAACACCCAGATTTCACTTAGTATTCAATTTCTAAGAACCACCAACCCATTTATTTTCAACAAGTCATTTTGTCCACTTTGGGGCCAGGTGGTGTGCATGTGCCATGGAGAGCTTTAGAGTTGCTAGCCATCCATGGGGCCCGGGCCCAGCCTGTAAGTTTGCAGGTGAAACACAAAGACCAACAACAAAAAAGACTCCCTGTGTGGCACAGTGGCTGAAGTCCACATTCAGACTCACGGGTTGGGGCTGATATTTGACATGCACTTGTTGTCAAACAGGAGCCCTGGTGGTGCTGTGGGTTAAGCATTGGATTGCTAACCACTAAGTTGGTAGTTCAAACCCACCCTGCTCCACAGGAGAGCAGTGAGGCTGCCTGCTTCTGTAGAGCTCTACAGTCTCAAAAACCCTACGTAGGCTCGCTCAGAGTCGCCTCAGTGGTAGTCGGTTTGGTCTATTTCTGTTTTATTTTGTGTTTTGGTTGATTCTGAATTTCTCTTCTCAAGATGAGAAAAATTTCTACTATAATAGCACTTCTCATCTTTGAAATGGTCAATATAACACGTTGGAAGGCCACACTGTTTTGTTCTTACCGGTTTTTGCTGGGCTGTGGTTTTTCTTTTTTGAATGGGGAAAGTCCTCTGCTCCTTTTATCAGTAGTCTGTTACCTTTTTGCTCATCACAAATGTATATTCTGCCTTGAGAGGCAGCTGGCAGCAGAGGAAGGGAGGGTGGGTCTGAAGGTCAGGGAGGGGGTAGGCAGTAGTGGAGTGCTGGGCTCACGGAGCTCGTGGCTGGTTCCTCCACATGAAGAGGAGTCACATAAGCCCCAGCAAATGGACCAGAGGCCTTGTTCGAGTCTCGCAGAGTGTCAGGGCCACTGAGGTTAGAGAGAGGACCCCACCCCCAGAAACAGTGACTGGCCCTATGTTTTCAGCCTTGAGTTCACAGGCTGCCACTTGGTAGGTCTGGGGCCGCTCTGAGCCTCATTGTCTTATCTATGATGTCAGAGTTCCATTAGGTTAGTAAAAGCATGTGCTTGATGATGTTGAACGTACCGTGGCCAGCCAGAAAAGCAGCAAGTCTGTGCTGGAAATGCAGCCAGAATGTCTTTCACACACTTTGGACCTGCCCCTGGGAAAAACATCATGCTTGGTAAAGTAGAGGGTCAATGAAACAGAAGCCCCTTTGTGTATTTGTAGCCTGTTTTACAGTACTGTAAATGGCATCGTAGAAAAGCTTCGCCTTGGAATACAGCTGAGCCTTAAGTTACCTCAGACTTCCTGTGGGTGACATGGCTGCGTGGCCGAGAGCGCCATTGACCTGCACACCGTTCATGACACTAAGTCGTGTCTTGTTAGCCACTTGCTGCTGCTGGTAATGGGATCGTGCTGACGTATTCAGCTCCTGCTCACAGCCACCGTGTATAGCATTTCTGAGGCTATATGGGAGCAGAAAGCCTCATCTTTCTCTCGAGGAGCAGCTGGTGGGCTCAAACCACTGACCTTGTGGTTTGCAGTCCAGTGCTAAGGTGAGGTGCCCACGGTTCAGCGAGGGCTGGTTTCTCTGGTGGGTCCGAGTGGAAGAAACAATGCAGTCTTGCCTTCCTCCCATCTGTAGGGCCAAGGAGGGGAGCTACACTGCCTCCCACAGCACTGCAGTGGTCCTGGACACCCACCCCACCGCTCCAGCACAGGGACATTCTCTGGACCCCAGAGTCATGGGTGGACTGGTCCAGTTTGTGGTTAAGGTGTCAAACACAGATAATTTATTAAAACCGTGGGACTCAGATCCAAAGTGTCCACAGTGTTCCTTTTAATGTGTAACCATGCCATTTGTTAGTTACCTGGAGTACTTCAATGAGTAGGATTTGAACTCACAAGCCAATTCATTTTGCTCTAACTCTGTTGTGTTTATCTTTTCTCTTTGTGTGTGTGTGTGTGTACTGTCCTGTGCTTCGTCTTGGTCTCTAACACAGTGGTACTGATTACTATGATTATGGGCACGGACTCAGCGAGGAGATTTACGATTCCTACGGTGAGTGGCCTGCCAGGAGCCAGGATGAACCAGCCGCAGACAGGGGCGCTTGCCAGAGAAAAATACTGAAGGCTCTTCACTGGAGGGCAGATTCAGAAAGACATTTTGACGATGAAACAGCTTCCTGTCGGATCACTTGTGCACATGTAGCTATTTTCCCAGGCTCCTTTAATATTTAAATTGAATATTTCAAGAGAACGAAATTACACGAATTCACATTCTGAAGTTGGGCTTCTGTTTGGGTTGATTGCCACGTGCTGATGTTCTTGTTTCTAGAATAACTCCCCAGCCTGCAGACACTAGATATCTCAGGTCTTTAAAAAAAGTGTTTTTGCTTCTTGACAATGAAGGGAAATGAAGTATCTGAGAGGATAGCTCTGACATGTCACCCCCACCCCCACCTTTATGTTTTAACTCATTCCCACACGCAGTCCTTCTAACAAACCATGAAGGGGGGTGGGGGTGGGGGATCATTTGTACAGGTCACACCAGCCCTGAGCCAGGCCACACAGACTGTCAGGGGATCAGCTAACCCCAGTTGGTTCAGAGATGCTGAGGACCCACATCCTAATCTCAGTGTACAGAAGGGTGACAGGGTTAATTAGAATAATCAGAGGCATTGAAGTAGTGAGAGTGTGGAATGGCTTTGCTGCCAGGCCAAGAGATTAGAGAACTGGAAGTTTCTTTCAGGGGCAAAGCTAGGCAGCGGGCCATAGACCTAGTAGTGGTGAAGTGGGAGCCTGTTTAATGGGTGTTAGGATGCTCTCTGAGCATTTGAAGAGAACAGAGAAGCTACTTCCCAGTGTTCCTTTTGAAATGCATTTTGTTATATCACCTGCCCAAAGCCCTCATGGCCGCACCTTGGACAATTTTTTTTTTTCCCTTTTCCTTTTGGAGTCATAACAAACCCTTAAAAGAAATGCATTGGTTTGCTGAAAGCTGTCTACTTAAATTGATGCACATGAGCTTGAGGGAGTGACGTTGATTGCATGTTTGTATCAAAAGAAGAGGTCGTTTTCAGCGTTTTTTCCTTCACAGCTTTTTTAAATTGGTCTCTGTGGACACATGGCTTTTCAATTGCTGCAGGGATGTTAACTGTTAGCTGGCCAGAGCCTGGCACTGAGCGGATGTTTGCTTTCAGGAGATGGGGATGTGAGGACAGCTTGGTTGTCGATGCAGTTACCCGGTGTGTGTTTGCTGTCACAATGAGTGGAATTTGACACTGTGCTGTCGAGTCGGTTTCATGGTCACTAAGCATCATGGGGCACACATTTCCCACCCAGCATAACTGGAACGTGGTCCTCTTCTGGAAGGGCCCATGAGAAATGATACAGCCAGTGTCTCTCTTAGTCACTCCCCACTCGGCCATTGTTTCTGCCTTCACCTCCATGGATTCGTTGTCCCCTTCTCTGTTTTTGCATTTAGAAGACATCTAGGTGATAACTTTTCCCTTGTCCATTTCCTGTTCATAAATACATTCTTAATGCTTCACACCAGGCCGTTCAACCTGCTGGGTGAGCTAGTGAGCTGATAAGATACCCCTATGTATGGCCAGAAGGAACAGTTTTACAAAGTTGACTATCATCAAAGCTGCCTAAATCCCTTTCTTCCTGTGCTGGTGGGTTTTGCTAGTGGGGCTGTCATTTTACACTGTGCTTGTAAATGTGTTTAAAGTCAGTCCCCTCGATCGTGTGTGTTTTCAGCGTATCTTCACTGGCATTGGACTGAGTAAGACAGGGTTAAGTTAGATTCTGATGAAGGAAGCCAGTGGGAGAGCCACACAGTGACCTCGTTGTGACTCATCTTCCTCGTTTTAGGACAAGAAGAGTGGACGAAGTCAAGACACAAGGCTCCTTCATCGCGGACCACGAAGGGCGCCTACAGAGAGCAGCCATATGGCAGATACTGATTGTACTGTCTGGTGTTGTGAAATCCCCAATCTCCACCAGTCCTGTATACTGTTCAAAGTAATTTTTTTCTATGAACAATCCCTTTTTAATAAATCAAAATGTTTAAAATACGAATGGATGGAACTCAACTACTTTGTTGAGACGTCAACTGGGCAGAAAAATAAAAGACATGTAAAATTTTGTTATTTCTAGTCTGTATATGAAAAATAGGTCATCAAAAGAAAAAAAAAAAAAAAAACTTTGATTAACTAGTGTTAAACAAACAAACAAAAGTAGGTTTCCTAAATATGTTAATCCATTCTTTTAACATAAGCCTCACCTTTCATTTTAAAGGTTTCCATAGAATTGAGTTATTTTATCTTTCAGCCATATGCTAGCTTTTGTTTTGTTTTGCTTTGTTTCCTCTTGACAACATGCGTAAAAAGGGAAACCAATGACAAGTGCAAATAATGTGGTATTCTTTTGTAACTCAAGTCTTGAACTGTTCTGTAGTGTTAAGCAAAGTCTCCTCTTGCTTGATACTAAATAAACTTTTGAAAGAAACCTGGTGTGTGTGAGCTAACAATGTCATGTTTTTCTTATTTAAAAAGGCCTTCATAAATAGTTGTAAACAGGGAAAGAAAGAACTTACTTAACAACGCTCGTCAGAAAAAAGGTCACACTAAACACTGTACAACTTATTTTTTAAAAATGGTATAAAATTAAATGTACCATTCTATGCTCACCATAGATCTAAGTGCTGTCTTAAGACTCCACACGGAACCAAGCTGTGAGAATGGCACTGTTAAACCACGCCAAGCCCAACCTTGCATAAAACGGGTCTTAAAATAACCACTGGATTTTCTGCAAAAGCTCTGGTCAGTTTTCACCTTGTTGAGCGTTTTTTCACTAGTGCAACTTTGGAATTTTTATGAGACTTTTGGTACCTTAATGAACACCTCGCCCCATGCTGGAACCACTAAAGCACAATTTTAAAGGCTTTCTGACTAATTGAGGTCGCTCTCGCCAAGGCTGAGGATGTAACCCTTAAACGGTCTTCATTTTCAAAGGTAAATAAACAAATAAGATTTTAATCTCACGTAATTGATCTTAATATAACTAATAAAGCCAGGGAGGTCGCCACGTAGCGAGTTTCCGTCTCCAGGTTAGAAAGGGTTGGAGGAGCACCTAAATCCTACTTTTAAAAAGTTTCATTTGTCTCAGTGATCTAAAAAGCCTTAGCTTAGGCAGTTTAATTGGGTCCAGTTCTTCACTATTAAACAAATGTAAACCCTCATAATTAGTTGTTTGTAATACATTATTCGGTTATAAATGCCAGTAACCGAGGGCACTTCTTAAAACAGACAAATATTTAACAGAGTTGCTCTTTAACCATTGGGCTTAATGTTTATCATTTTTAACTGTAGATTGTGTGGAATGTGTAGTTTTTGTTTCTTGGGAGATTGCCTTCCTTTTATTTTGAGTAAAAAGGTTTTTTCTTTTGTTAGGAAAGGAAATGCCTGCCATCTTGGACTGTCTAAGGAAGGGGTGTGCACCTGGAGCAAACCAAGGTAAGCGCCCTCTTGTTCTGATGAGGCCCATGTGCCCTGCAAGGTGAGACCAGAGAATGCCCCAGGATGCTTCTCTCTTACCAACCTCCAGCGGGAAAAGGAACCATCTTGAGTGCCAACGAGTCACCGCCAGTCAGCCCGACCACAAGCCGCAGAGACTGGACACTCAGGCCCTAGTCAGGAGTATGGAAAGAGGCCGAGTTTTTTTCTTTTGTAAAAATGTAAGTGACTTGGGGAAAAAAAATCTTTTTTTTTTTCAAATCATTAAGAAAAACAGAACAGTATTATTATCAGACACAGTTTTCAAAAGATAAAATTTGGACCGTATACATTAAGTTTGCTTAACTTCTCTGTTTTTCTTAATAATTTGAAATGTTTTTTACATAGAGATGTGTTGTTGTTAAGTGCCATTGAGTCCATTCTGACTCATGGGTATCCTATATATGAGGAGCACCTGGTGAGTTTGAACCACTGACCTTGCAGTCCAATGCGGTAACCCACAGAATCACACACACCAAGACTGTGGCATCCTAGAATAAGCCCTCAACCTCAAGGTCGGTTTTGAACTGCAAACTCACCAGTCACTCCTAGAAAACCCTATACAGTGTGGCTGTGAGTCCGAACCTACTCGGCACTTAATGACAACATAACTGTATCGACGTCATCTGTATTATCTCTCTATATATGCATGTATATACATAAGTTGTTGTTGTTGTTAAGTGCCATTAAGCTGGTTCCGACTCAGAATGATCCTGGACAGTTTTTGAGGAGTGGCTGGTGGGTTTGAATTGCCTACTTTGCGATTAGCCATCCAGTGCTTGCTTATCCTAGAATGCCACACCAGGACTCCAGTGTGTATATAACATATATATTGTTGTTGTTGTTGTTGTTGTTGTAGGCCATCAAGTTGAATCTGATTCACAGTGGCCCTGTATAGGGTTTCTGAGGCTGTAAATCTTTGTAGGGTCAAAAAGTCTTACTGTGCTTCCGCAGAGTGGCTGGTCAGCTTCAACCATCAACCTTGTGGTTCACAATCCTATGTTCATCTGAAAGACCCCCTTAAATTTTTACAAAAGAAAGAAGTCTATCTACAGATTTCTTCCTATGCATATATATTAGAGTCCTGGTGTGGGACGCGCTGTAGGATAAACACTGGACTGCAAACCACAAGGTCAGTGGTTCAAATCCACCAGCCATTCCTCGGAAACCCTATACAGGCTCACTGTGAATCAGAACCAACTTGACAGCACTTAATAATATTTATATATATGTATATGTGTATTGTGTGTACAGACAGACAGACAGACAAACAAAAGGGGATTCCATTGTCTCTTAGTTGCTTTTATCCACAGAGTTTTGGAAGACATCTGTATGTGTATGTGTATATGAAATGACAAGGGTGTATTGCAGATTTTTACTTTAATTATCTTAGTCTTAGAAAGTTCAAATGCCTTTTGCACTTGTCTGCACTTTCTGCATTTTGTAAAATAAATGACAAGCATTCCCTGAGTTAGGAATGTTTACCCACAACTCCTGCTTGCCCTTTAACTAACTATGTGACTCTGTTCTCCTGTTGAAACAGTCAAAGCAGCTCCTGCTCCCATTGAATTCTTCACACAATCACCTTCATGTGCACACTGAACTGCTTTTAAATCAGTGACATGTCTCCCAGCCTTCACTGACACTCAAGCGAGACTAAGTCAGGACCGCGTGCACCCCTTCCAACTTCCCGACAAATTTGACATCAAGACATAGGTAGGAATGGATCTCGTTTTTAACCCAGGGACTGCCTGTATTAGGTTTGTAATGTAAATATAAAATGTGTCTAGCAAATGAGCTCAGCGTTCTAAGGAGTTGTGAAGGAAATGATATCATTAGTTTGCTCTCGTTTTCAGATGCTGTGTTTTTTTGGTTGTTGTTGTTGTTGTTTTGTCTAAACCATCAGACCACACTGCTTGGGCGCTGAGCTTCCAGAGATGAGCTTGACAGAGAGGGCTTGTGTTTGCATCTGCTGCTTCCTGTGTGACTTTGTCCACGTCCCACCATCAGTGTCAGTTCAGTGACTACAGTTTTTAGCTCGTGTAGGAATAATACAGTGAGAGCATAGGACCAGAGTGTTGGTCATCTGGAAAAGGACACAGTTTTATTGTCGGTGCTAAATCCACACATCAGATGTGTATGGCAATACATGAGTTGTTTTGTTTCTTTTTTTCTAGATAGCCAAAATTGTTGGTAAATGCTGTCGAGTCAGTTCCAACTCACAGCAACCTGGTATAGCGTTTCCAAGGAGTGACTGGTAGGTTTGACTTGCCAATCTTGCATTTAGCAGAGCAGTGCCTATTTGTACAGTGCCACATTAGCCTGAAACAATTAAATTGCCTTTAGATAGTGAGTAGAGCCCAGGCTAGATGCTGCGTTACCTTGTTTCCCTGGGGTAACACTCAACACTGAGCAGTAGACAGATGGTAGGATTATCAACACCCTTTCCTCCGCCATCTGTGCCCAGCCCTGGCCCCAGGTCCCTCCAAGGAGAGATTCTTTGTCTTTATCTAGGTTCTTACCGACTTTGGGGTAACTCTTCCGCATTGAATCAGCATCAGTGTTTGGTCAGCTATGTTTGTCAGTATGTTATGCCTGCTATGTGGCAGACAAGGGCAGTGCAGTGACAAAAGGCAGTGCTCACCTGGGAGGGTGGCTCAGTGGGCACAGTCAGCCTCCCTACGGGCCCTGCTGGATGCAGATAGGGGAGAGGCAGGGGGTTAGAGTTGGGGGGCATTCTAGAGAAGCTCTTACCTTAGTTGTCTTGAAGGACCAGTAGAAGACATCCACCTAGGGGAGGTATTGGGAGGTATTCTTAGAACAGCCATATCCTGGCTCTGCCACCTGTCTGCTTTGTTGGTTGGGTAAGTTCCTAGGCTCTCTGAACTGCTGGTCTCCCCATCCTTCAGATGGAAGTGATAAGGATTTTGACCTCCGTTAAGACAGTGACGATTATAAATTTGCCTGCCATAAAATGCAAGGGGGCTTCAAGAAATTCAGAGGGAAAAAATCTTCATCTTTTAATTCTATCTTTTCACTAACTTTCTAAAGGCCCCTCATATGCGTCTTCAGTACTGTCGCCATGTGTAAATATTTAGAACTACAAGAAAATATGATCATTCAGGAAATGCCAAGAACTCTTGGATAATTCAAGAAAGCAAGAGATGATGCTAGTTTGGTGGGCAAAAGACAGCTAGTGACGGGCCTGGTGGCCTCTTGTTAGAAGTTTAGATACAGGGACCCCGCTTCTAAGTGCAGTCCCGTCCTGGCCTTATTGCATGCCCCACTCCAGTCTCTGAGGCAGAGATGGTGTCTTTTCGCACCTGTGTCCCCATGTGCACCGGCCCGTGACCCTGTGCTCCAGAGAGACGGGAGCATCTTTGAGAGCAGCCTCGTGTCTTAGCACAGAGTGTGACACAGAGCAGCGGGGGCTCAGTCTGGACTGACAGCAGTCGTGATTGTGAGGATGGCACAGGACCGACCGGGCAGGGTTTCCTTCTGTTGTGCCCGAAGTTGCTAGGCATCAGAACCGACTCCACGGCACCTAACGACAATAGCAAGGGCTTCAGCGCTTCAGTGAACGTGACCTCATGACGTTGTCAATCTGATCAATGTGATTCCTAACAGGCAATGATAGGGGTGATTAAGGATGGTTAGCAGAGACCAAAAAATAGAATCAAATTAATTTAAATTAGAAAAATAACATGCACAATCATGTTAACCATTCTAATTGTGTTAGAATTCAGATGGCCACTGCAAAAACCATGTGGGAACCTTGCCTGACTTCCCCTGGCTTCCCAAGGGGGAAAGAGAATCAAATTCAAAAGTAGCCCCAGGCTGCTACCTATGAAGCGGGGGTCAGACATGCCTCCACCCTGCAGCCTTCATTCCCCTGTTCTGACACCAGCCCTCCCGCCCACAACACTCTCTACTTCACATCTGGATTCAATCATC